AGCATTGACTGGATCACTGACTACCAGCTCTGCAAAGGTTGTTCCAGAGTGAAATACAGGAAAAGCTACAGAACATGCCAGCTCAGAACTAGTAAAAATATAGCAAGACTGTTAGGACCAGAACAATAATATTGGCCAAATTCTTTGAATGTTTTCTAGAGATAGAGTGTTTCCATTGCAGAAAAGTCTGGAAATTTCCTGATGTCTCCTCAGGAAGATCAGTACATTAGGTTAAGCAATGCTAAGCCATCACAGATTCCAGAGAATGATGTCTCTCTGATGTTATAGACACTAGAACAGAACTAGGAGAAATTAGAGTAGTGTGACTAACAAGGAGAAATGTAGAGAACAGGCTTATAAGAAAATAGGGTATGAGAACTTGGGCATAAATGATAGTTATAAACTGAAACTTTAGATGAAGACATATGGTTGAAAAGGGAGTAAGATCAGGTATTGCATTCATGGGACTATAGATTGAAATATTTTTATGTTGTTTCCATTAAATGTTCCATGTAATGTGACCCCCCTCCACCCCCCCAAAAAAAAACCACTCAAAATGCCTGCCTTATGAAAATAATCACTTTTCAAGCAGTTTGACAAATTAAAAAGAGTCTGACATATTGTTCTAATCAATTATCCCGTTGCTTACAAGGTATGATGATATTTGCAGGAGAGATGTGGTGAATTATTAAAATATATTACAGAATTACATTAAACAGCCTTGTCTTATAAATTCCCCAACTAATCTCTTAAAATATTGACCCCAATATGTGGAATCAGGAACAATGCTATGGGATTGGAGGTATCAGTAGAATAAATCTACTTAATAGAAACATAGAAAAATTGTTTTTAAAATAATTTAAAACAAAATGATTAAAAATCTAAGGTGAGTATGGAAAMCCAAGAATATCCTGCAAAGTCAGTGATGGCTATTTTTGAAAAACAAGTATTAATTTGCTAATTTGAATACCCATTATGAAACACCTTACTCTTTACTGTTGGGATCTTTATAAAGATTATATCATCTCTGCATTGAGAGCTTGTTATAGCTCTCAATGGAAATTTGAACTTCATTGGATTTATTTTTACATCTGATCTATCAGAAATAATGTCAATTGAATATTTTTATCTCTTGTTTCATGTRCTGTACCAAAATGTGGAGAGATGATTGAACCCTAGTAATGTATTTGGTCACCAAGCTGTTTGAGAAACTAATATTCTCAGCTTGGCTAGGCTACTCTATATGAATTTTAAACAACACTTTTAAAAGAATCAAAATTACTGGCTATTAGTGATTAAAATGCATATATGTGTTAATGTAGGAAATTCAGGAGGTAAAGCAGGGATATCAATAAAAGACTGAAAAAAAAAGAGTAGTGCTCTTTTCCACAAACTTTATGTTTTTTAAGAAATGTGATGTGGGCTGGGGATGTGGCTCAAATGGTAGCATGCTCACCTGGCATGCACAGGGCACTGGGTTCCATCCTCAGCACCACAGAAAAATAAAATAAAGATGTGTCCACTGAAAACTGAAAAATAGATATTAAAAAATTCTCTCTCTCTCTCTTTCTCTCTCAAAAAAAAAAAGAAAAAAGAAAGAAAGCTGATGGAACATTTAAAATTTTTTTGTTGCTTTAGATGGAAAGAATACTCTTATTTTATTTATTTATTTTTATGTAGTGCTGCTGAGAATCAAACCCAGTGTTTCACATGTGCTAGGCAAATGCTCTACCACCAAGTTACAGCCCCAGCCCCTGATGGGCCATTTTTGATGACTAAGAATCTAGTTTCAGAATTTCCAAAAAAAAATCTAAAATGTTGCTGGCTCCTACAAAAATATTTGACTAAGGAGAAAAAATATATCAACCATAGGTATGTTCAATTCAAGGTATCAGAACAAACTTCAGATCCTTTCTGGATCTAAAAGGATCAAAGTCCCAAAATTGTTAATGAAAAGCATCAACTATTTAAGTGTCTTAGGAGACTGAAAAATCAGTGTTGGTTTTCCATTTCTCTGTGTACATCCAACCTGGCCTGCAGAAGTTCAAGGGCCAGGAGCCTAGTGCAGAATATGGCATTGCTGTCTGGAAAAGAGTTTCCAGCCATTGCCACCAAACCAACTGAAATATGGGGAAGAATAGGTACAGGAGAATCCTCAACATTGAGGCTGTTCTTCCTGTCAGCCCAGGGTTATAATGAAGCCTGTTCAGTTTACATGAAATATCCATATCCTTCTAATATTAGGTTCTCCTCATGTCTTACTATAACTGGTAGTTTTTGATACTATTGGTCATGAATCCTGACTTAATAGTGATTTATGAAATTTAGGGAATTTACAATTAGCATTTGAAAAGAACACAAAATAAAAAGAAACCAAGAATATTGTCCAAACTTGTGGAACTTTAAAAATTGTACATGAAAATAAGTTTGAGGGTCATAATACAAGGGCCCCTGAAGGTTGCAAAATGTCCCTTGGTCCCTAAACCTCTGTTCCAAAGTTCCATCAAAGTGACTGGAATTCATCAATAACAGATTTGATTGTCTACATTATGAAGTTTTGAGAGATTTCAATAAGCACTCAATTAAAGTAATATGTACCTATGAAGAATAAAATCTTAAGTTTCTTTATCCCAGGTTTGTTGTTAAGAGTGAGCCAGAGCCATATGACTAGAACACAAGTGAGGCGCTTTTGTGATAGGGAAGGTATGATCAAAGACCCCAGGGATTATTCTAGGATTTCATATTTGATCTGTACCCATTTGGTTAGTATAGACAGATGATTCCTATACAGGATACCCCATTGCTCTTGACTAACTTGAAATCAATAAGGATAATTGTGAACATATTCTCTATGGATCTTCTATGTGTACTGGCCAGTACTTTCACAGACACTCAGGAGAGAGGTCTTTTTTTTTTTTTGAGACCTCTCAAAAGAGAGGTCTTTACTTTTCACACAAGTTGCAAATTTTATGAGAATTCATAGTCAATCTATCCTGGGAAGTGAAAAGAATCCCAAGAAGCACCAGTTTTACTTAAATATTATCATTCATCAGAATCACCTGGAGAGTCTGSTCATACCCCACACTGAATTTCAATTAATTCAGTAATGGGGCCAAGGCACTTTTAAATGCACTTTCTCATTTGATTTTTCCACATTGTTTGGTTTGAGAATCATGACCATCTACATGTGTTATTTGTTTGTTTTTTTGTTTTTGCAGTATCAGACTTCAGAGATGCTAGGCAAGTGCTCTTTCTCTGAGCCACATCACAGTCATTTTTAATTTTATTTTGAGACAGGGTCTCACTAAGTTGCCTAGGCTAGTAGAGAATTTGTGATACTTCTGCCTTATCCTCCTGTGTTGCTGAGATAACAGGCATGCACAATCACACCTGGCTCCACATAAATTCTTAAATCTCCTTTATTCTATCCTCAACAAGTGTTTTGTTCTTTTTAAAAATAGCTATAATTTTAATATTTTTATTTAAATTGAGCAGGAATCCATCTCTCTTTAGAATCAAATGATGATGATGATGATGATGATGATGATGATGATGATGATTACTATTATTTTACTTTGCTTTTCCTCAGTCCTCCCAGGCAACATGTGTGGATAAGTCAAGTCCCCCTACCATTGGTCAGCCCTCAGTATTGACAAGCACAGGTAACACAGCACAAGATCTAAAACATCATAAGTTGTGTATCATTTAACCATAATGCTTAGGACCAGAGCGTTTCATAGTTAGGAGTTTTTCCAAATTTTGGAATATTTGCAAATCTCTTACCAGTTAACATCTCTAATATGAAAATCCAAATTCCAAAATTCTTCAAAATCCTTGGAGCATCATGTTGGAATTTTAAAAAGTTTTGAATTTTGGAAAACTTCGGATTTTGAATTTTTGAATAAGGGGTGCTCAACCTATAAGAGTAACTCTTACTAAATATTTGTCATAAATAATATTGTGATTATTGTCATTATTGCTATTAGCACATAAGACAATTGTTAGTAGCACAATCCCTAAAGCATTTTTCTCAAGATAAATGTAAATATCTCACTAAATTTTAATGTTGAACAGTAAATATTATGTATTAATAATATAGAAAAAAGTCAAGATGTTTGTTTTTGTGTTTTGGTCACTTACCACTCTCTATAGTACCATATTGGTGAATAAGCAATGGTAGAAAAGTGTCAAAGGTGCATTCAGGTGAGGCTTAGCACAAAAGGCCCCTGTCATTCACATTTTAAACCATAGCCTTCTGGGTTATGACAGAACTTTTCTTTGACATTAAAAAACTACCCCCACAAAGTTTTTTGCTAAGTACCTAATAATTCTCCTTAAAAGAAGATTGTATGAGAAAGTGTAAAGTTTAGTCCTTATAGAATAAAAAATACAAAGGAGAAAATGTAAATTGGGAAAAAAAATAACTTCTGGGAATTTTTTTCCACCTCTCTCCCTCTCTCCCACTAGCTAACCTTCACCTTTCTGACTCAGCTTATCCCACCATAAAGCTATGGAACTTCACTGTGCTTTAAAAGATATCTACTAGGATTCACACAATGTACTTTCACCCTCAGTATCATGCCTAGACTTCTGTGAACTCTTCATAAAGAATTATTTATACTGTGGATCATGTTGTGCTGAATTATAATAAATTAAACCAGATTTGTCTATACTCTAAAATAATAAAAATGAAATAGATAGCCAGTTTTTTGTTGCTATTCTTTAGCAAATATTCGGAGAATATCCCATTGTTTTCTTCCATTGTCTTCCATTGTCTTCTTCCCTAATACTGCTAAAATTAGTAAGTTAATTAACATCCTATGAATAATTTAAGTCTTATATTAAGCCAAATTTAATCATCATTGCCAAGATTAATTAGGAACCTCACCCGTAACTATGCTTAATAGCATAAAAAAGTAAAATAACATAATCTAAAAAACCTGACTATCAAAGAATTTTCAACCTTCCATCATTGCTTGACAGTACTGAAAAAATCATACCTTCAACTAAGGAAGTAAGGAGAGTAACATTGGCTGCTTTCCGTCTTCCTGCTGGCAAATTTAAGCCAAGTCTATCCAGTTTCTCTCTCAGGCAGCGGCCTCCATTCTTGGATTTTGCTCTGTCCAACAACAAATAAAAAGTAGGTTTTGAAAGTTCACATTCTGGAGAAAATTGTGAGAAGACTTGATGACGTGGAGAATACATTGGGTGGAAGACATAAGGACTGAGGGTTGAAGGTGCGCATCAGCAGTTAGCAGACAGACAGTGCTGGAATTAGTGCTAACTTACCTTCTCAAAATGCCTCCCAGGAGTGAAGCATTGAGGCACTCAGGTGGTGAGAGGCGCCTCTTTACCTCAGCAATGGTCACCTTGTATTTGGAAGTAGAACTGAGAAGGGACAAACGACCAGGAACAGAGCAAAACAAGTCTGTGGGGTTGACCACACAGGTGCCACCTTGGGAGGAAAAAGTATATAACATGTTAGTGAAGGCAGGAGAAGAAAAGTATATGAGAGGCAATTAATATCAAGGGACCACTTGATATTCAGTAGTACCTGACAGCAATTGTATTTATAAATCACCCACTTTATCTCAGAGAGCTCCTTTGAAGATGTCCTTCCAAATAATAACCAGAATTTGGTCTTTTTAATATCCCACAGAAAATGGTTGTGAGTGTACAAAGGTAATTTTAGAGAAAATTGGCATCTTTTGGAATACAGCCTGGCTCACCAGTCACACCAAGAAACACTTCAATAAATTAAGCACCTCTATTAATTGAAAATCCCAATTCTAGTAGTCAACCCCATTAAAGGTGTTATGTATCCATGGTTGTATCTGTATGTGTACACACACATACATGGATATAAACTTTTTATGCATGTTTTATTTTCTTTTCCAAAATGTTTGAGAATTCCATCTCCTTTCCCTCATCCATCTAATAATTAAAGGCACCAGAGTCATTCAATCCTGACATATTACTAAAAATAATCTGCTTATAGCCAGAAACGTATAACCCATACAGGCAATGACAGGTCAAATCCTTTTATGTGTAAATTGGCACACATAGGAAAATATACCACAAGATCTGAACATGGTAACAATGTTAGTTATAAATAATATTATTGCTGTGGTTGTTTTTATTATTACCATTAGAGTGAAAAGCAAAGGGAAATATTAATAGCAAAATTATCAAAGGAATTTTGACATGCTGGAGTTTTGGGAACAGAAGATGTCTATCTCCAGGGTCCAGAAAATCCCTTCAGCTTCACCTTCCTTCAGGAACAGCACAGGATATTCTGTAATCTCACCCACTGAAGTAGACTTGAGGACCTAAGGGGATTTATCAGTGAGGAAAGTTCTTGCTGGCAAATTTCTCACTCACTGTAAAAATTCTGGGCCAATGTCCCCCTTGCTAGGATGGTGGCTTTATGTTCTAGGACTGCAAGCCTACCTCATCTTGCTTTGAGCCCTATGAGGAAAGTTTTTAAGGTTTAGTGGTGAATTCAAATTCAAGTTGGCTTTTCTGAGCATGCTATGGCTTTTTTTTTTTAAGTTATGGGCAATTTTGAGACTCGTCTCTAATAAAGGATTGAGTTCTATGAGTGGAAAAAGGAAAGAAAAATGGCAGAAAAGTGTGGTCCAAGATCTTTTTTACTAAAAATGTGGTCCTCAAAAGATAGCATCAGAACCAGGCATAATGGCACATGCCTGTGATTGAAGCAGGTTGGGAAGCTCAAGTTTGAGGCCAGTCTGGATAATTTGTAAGACCCTGTCCCCCCCCCCAAATATATGTATGATATAAATGGGCTGGAGATGTAACTCATTGATGGAGCACTCTCAGAATGAACGAATGAACGAATACATACATACATAGAGGCAGAATTGACAACCTAGGAAGGGATCTGTTAGAAATGTAGAATCTCAGAATTTCTGTCAAAATTTGCACTTTGAGGGGCTGGGGATGTGGCTCAAGCGGTAGCGAGCTTGCCTGGCATGCGTGCGGGCCCGGGTTCGATTCTCAGCACCACATACAAACAAAGATGTTGTGTCCGCCGATAACTAAAAANCACATTCAAGGCAAAGAGAATTAAAAATTTGTAGACCTACTTTGAATCGTCACAATATTATATTTAATTAGTATCTAATCTGCTATTTAATATACCTGTTCTGATTCTAATTCCAAATATTAAATCTTTTATTACTAAAATTTTTAATTACTTAAAATGCACCTTGAGGGCTGGGATTGTCGATTAGCAGTAGAGTGCTTGCCTAGCATGGACGAGGCTCTGTGTTCAATCCTCAGCACCACATAAAAATAAATAAATAAATAAAGATATTGTGTCCAACTATAACTAAAAAAATACATATTAAAAAAATGTTGGGGCTGGGGATGTGGCTCAAGCGGTAGCGCGCTCGCCTGGCATCCGTGCAGCCCGGGTTCCATCCTCAGCACCACATACAAACAAAGATGTTGTGTCCGCCGATAACTAAAAACTAAATATTAAAATTCTCTCTCTCTCTCTCTCTCTCTCTCTCTCTCTCTCTCTCTCACTCTCTCTTTAAAAAAAAAATTGCACTTTGATAAGACACCCTGTTGGTACATATATTCATTGAAGTTTGAGAAGCACCAGACTAGGGCTCTCCACTTGCTTCCCAGGTAACTCCTACCATGTATTACTAAGCAGCACAGTGACTTATATGGGGGGAGTCTCTGGCAGTCAGATTTAGGCATGTTCCTTTGCATGGAAGCCTAAAGAAGCTGGACAACATTTAGAAAGACAGAAGGACCACTGACAGGGGAGGAGAGGGCTAGCTAACCTTGCCCCACTTTTAAACTATTTACACCTCTGCAATTTTGGGAATTATTCCTGGCTGTTTAACTGTCATCCAAATTTTCTTGGAAAGTGCTAAAGACCAAGGTCTTTCTCCTTAAGTATTCTAAGGCCGTCAGTATCCCTGAATGACCCCTAAAACAAAAGGTAAGATATTCAGAGTGTCAGGAAAGGCTGTCCAGGATGCAATATATTTATATTTATATTTATATTTAGCCAAATTTTCCATGCCAGTTCCTGGACACCTGTTTTCAGTTTCATATCTGAGAAGTCATAACCTCAACTGCCAAACTCAGATCCATTGTGTGGGAGTCAAACTTGTAGCCCACATCACAGAAAACTATAACTCCCCTTCTTCAGGAGATGAAAACATAAATCCACCTGTGCTTTTGCACTTCACATTCCCAGAGAGGATTTTAAGCCAGTAAATAACAACAATCATAGTAAAAACAAATTCCCAGATTCCTGGGCCTGAGGCTACTAGTCACTTTCATTAATGCTTTACCTTGGTACCTATAGATACAAAATGCACTTAAAAAAATAAACTAAGGTCACTTTTCAAAAGTTGAACAGGAAAGCAAAATGAGTATAAATACATTTGCTGTTTAGAGTCATACTGTAAGAATCATGGCTCTGATTACTTTAGGAATTAGGTTAGTGTGAAGAAAAATATTAAACCCCAAGAATAAAAATCAATGTCTATATCCAAAATGCACATAGCCCTCTCTAGAAAAGGTACCTCTACCCACAGTCATAGGAATAATAAGTAAATTTATATTCTTCCATTAACATTCCTCTCTCAAACACTAGCCAGTATATATTTGAGGGAAAAAGGAATCTCACCCAATCAGTCCCAAGTTTATTATGAGTGGGGGAAGAAAGCATTTGAGCAAATGTACATATGATTTTGTTAGCTGCTAAGGAAGGAGAAGGACACAATTTAGACTGTTCCTCTCTTTTTAGAACTTTTTCCTCTTTAATGTTCAGTGTGTTAGACACCAGATTTAAAGAAATGCCAATGACCATCATTTTTGTAAAAGAAGTTAAATAAAATTCTTTTCCATTAGAAAACTACCACCTTTTTGACAAAGTGAATGCCATGTGCTGAAAGCCAGCTGCTCTCAGTGATACCACTGAGTCTGCTACCTGGTAATGTGCTAACTCCCTGGGCCCTGAGACTTTTCTACATCCAGTTTGGGTTTCTGGCTTATGCTCAAATAGGCATGTATTAGGTAAATTACACAGGCTGCATATTAACAGTATACTTTATGCACACACAAATTGCCTGAAGGATTTATTTTGTATTCAGGATTAGCCATCAACTCTAGAGTCTTTTATTTTTTATGTCACAGCATCTTTAAAGGGAATTTCTGTTGCTTTGATACTTGGCATTGCTGCAGCCTTGGGGAACTCTCTTGTTCTGGCTAAAGATTTGGCAACTTGTAGAGTTTACAGCAACTTGGGGAACCTGATATCTTTCTTTTCAACATTTCACTTTTTATGGAGGTAGAAAAAAGTCAACATAACCAAAGTTTTGCATTTGCAATGAGGATAGTGAGGGGTTAGTTCTTCTCTATGGGGACCCAGACTACAGATGGCATGATGAGACCTCAGAGAAGGAAAGTCATAAAAGAGTGGACCTCACCAAGCTATAAACAAGGGTTACTGGCTGAAGTTCCTCATGGTACCTTTGTTTCATGTCAGCTCTCATTGAAGTTATGTGGTCTCATTTTTTATTCAGCACCCTAGTTAGGGATGTCTTTGCAGCCAGAACCAGAGTGTTCATGCAAGATTCCAGAATTCATCTCTTTTCTATTAATAGTACACAGAAGCAATAAAGACATGAAGGTCACTATTTTCAAAGTTGGAAACAAGACTCCCTAGTTCCAGTGTTTGCAAACTCTAATGAGCAGCTATAGCAACAATGTAGAAATCAGGAATTATCTCCTCAAGGTCACTTGTCTAGTTCATGACTTTAGAAAAAAGGAATAACTTTGCCAAAGCAAAAGGAATAAGCTAGCTAAAGATTGTGGGGGTGACAAAACCAGACACAGAATATATCAATGCAGATCCTTCAGCTGTCATACCTTGTTAGATCCTGCACAGTCTGAAGAAGGTTGGGATTACACTCTTCTTGGCAAATCTGGGGACATCTGTCCTTGTGTCTGCAGGCACAGTATGGAATGGTGTGAAAAGTACTGGGCTACAAGTACAAACTTGGTCAACTAACGACCCAAGCATCTTGGAGAGTAGTTATCTGGGTCTCAATCGATCTGAAATATGAGGTTGTTCACAACTGCTCTACTTATCTCTCTAGCTGATGAGGAGGGAAAATGGGAATTGAACGTGCGCACGCGCGTGCTCAGTTACCTGAGCAAAGGCTGCCCAACACCGCTATTGTGTTGAGCAATTTACCACGTCGCAGGGTAAGATCTGAGGCTCTACATTAAAACCACCCACCCTCTGCATTGCAATTGAACAGGAAAGCCAAGCTCTAGCGACTGGGACCGCTTTTCCTCTTCTCATCCCCAGCAATTAGGGCAGAGGAAAGAGCGGCGGCTGCCTCCAAGGAGCTGCGGTTCCCTGGGCGCGCCTAAAGCGGCTTCTGAGCCACAAACTGGTCT